ACCGCAACTCGGGGGAAACTTTGGAAGAGCCAGGGGCTTGCCCTCCGGCTGGAGAACAAAGGGACGGGCAGGTTCTGGGCCGGCCCTGCCCCACCCCCGCCCCCGACCACCTCTCCCCACCCTAGCAGGCTCAACCCGCGCTCTCCATTTTTCTCCAGGGAAAAGAGATGCCACGGCCGCCCCCAGTCGGCGCTCCCTCTCCGGGCAGACCGCCGGGCGCTCTGTCTCCCGCTGCTCGGCCGGAGGATGCTCCTGGCCCTGACTCTATTTCCCCCCACCCCCTTTGCATTTCCGCCTTTTGCAGGTGAGAAACCTTTTAAATGTGAATTTGAAGGCTGTGACAGACGCTTTGCCAACAGCAGCGACCGCAAGAAGCACATGCATGTGCACACCTCGGACAAGCCCTATATCTGCAAAGTGTGCGACAAGTCCTACACGCACCCGAGCTCCCTGCGCAAGCACATGAAGGTAATTACCTCTTTATTAGCGGTCGGCGGTTTATAAACACTCTGCCCGACACCGGGCCGCGGAACGGAAGCGCCCGCGCTGCCAACCCTGTATCTTCCACGTTAAATCCGATTTGCTCCAGCGTTGACACCTTGAACCCATTTGGGGGACCGGGATGGGGGACGGGGTTGGGGGGGGGGGAATTGGGAGCACAGTGGGGAGGAGGAGGGAACGGAGGGAAAGATCAGTTGTTTACTGGGAAGCTCTAACCGAGCTCGCCGGGACTGGAGGTCGCGGTGGCCGCCTCTCCCCGGCTCAACCCGCGTTGAGAACCGAGAGTGCCCGCGCCGAACCCGGGGGGCGGGGGCTGGGGGCCCCGTTCTTCTTCGGCTTCCGGTAAAACAATAGGGCCGAGGAGCGCGGGGGGATTCCCACGCAATTGTCGGAGCCCTCGCAGCGCCCAGGGTGCCCGTGCCACTTTTCTCTGTACCTGCTTTCCCAAGCCAGAGCGGTCTTGGTGAGACTTGGGCCCGGAGTATTTTATAGGGCCCCAAAGACTACGTGCTTTCCCCGCTCCAGCTGCGGAGAAAGCATTTCTGAAGGGGCATGAATAATCTAGAGTACTTTATTCCTTTTCCACAATGCCAGTCTTAGGACTCAAACTGGTTTTTTGACGAATGTCTTGGGGTTTTCTTACACATCGGTAATGTGGAAATTAAAAAAAAAACCCCAAATCAGCAGTATTTTAAGTGGGTCACTGGGCGGTCTTGCTCTTAAGAGTGCTCTTGTTTTTGCTTGCACAATGCCAGTTGGAATTATATTCATTATAATATATACATGTTAATTTTAGGTTCATGAATCTCAAGGGTCAGATTCCTCCCCTGCTGCCAGTTCAGGCTATGAATCTTCCACTCCACCCGCTATAGCTTCTGCAAACAGTAAAGATACCACTAAAACCCCTTCTGCAGTTCAAACTAGCACCAGCCACAACCCTGGACTTCCTCCCAATTTTAACGAATGGTACGTCTGAGGACAAACACAAACCCTGTTTAACCATAGAATGGACCAAATGCATTTTAAAAAGAAAACTGAGACCAATCAGATGGAAATGGAATTTTAAGGCAAGAGGCCATATATAGGGCTACATCTGGTTAATTGCAATTGTCCAGGAAGGTTTTGGGGCAAGATCCAAAAGTAGCCATGCCCTTTTCTCAGGATTAGAAAATATGTTTTGGCATTTGAAGGATTAAAAAAAAAATCTCACTGCTTTTTCCTCCCCTTTCTCTTGCTCTCTGCTCACCCCATCCCTAAACGCCTTCAGTTCATTTTAACTCTTGTCCTGTTTCTTGAGAGGAAGTTATGGAAGGCTTATTGGTGGTGGTGATGCTAAAACTGATGGAAAAATCTTCGCCTTAGTGGTGATTGTTTAAACTCTCACAGTCTTATACCGTGCCAAAGTCCTGTTATGTCTTGAACTTTTCCTCAAAGCATTACACTTGTGAATGTATTTTTGTCTAATGGGGTCGAAACTGTTGTTCAGTATTTTTTCAGGCTGAGGATGTGATGTTACTCTACACAAATTGTGACGTTTAGTATACAATTGCCTTTTGTAATAACTTTCTTTTTTGTAAATACATATCCATTGATGCCATATTTATCGTTTGTAATTTAATTATTGCTACAAATGCCGGGAACTGAACAATATTTATGGATAAATGTTTTCTAACAAATTCTGTACAGCTTTTGATTATAACCGCTTTAGCATTAAAATTTATTGTTTTGAAAGAAGAACACAATTTACAATTTTTGAACCACTGACTCCTTTCTCTTGTTTTGTAACAGCCTCCTTCTACAAAGAGGAGATGTGAGCAAATGAAATCTTGTTTGTTGGTATTTATAACTCACTCAGATCCCTTTTTTAATTGTTAAATTATTTTTCTATTGCAGTATAGATTCTTTACAGTGTCAGTTTCCATCTGGGAAGACCCTCCTTTCTTTAGCTCAGATGGTTGTTTAACTGCGAGTTTAAATGTGTTTGTCCTGGATTTTCGGCATGCAAATCAAATATTACTGATCAATTCAGTTAGTGGCCATGACATCTCAATCTTGTACTTCAAAGACTAAGAAGCTGGATTTAATCATCCCTGCCCTACATATGTAAACCTAAGGTAACCTAATGAGTTTTATGTCCCTTAGTTTTTTATTATCTTACATAAAAATGAACACTGCGGCAGGATGCATGTCTGTCTATTCTATCGAGAGATCACCCATATACCTATATATGTTTGTATCTATGACGTATCTAATCTGCCTATCAAATCTAGCTATCTATATATTTTCAAAAGTAAGCATATGTCTGAAACAGTGATGACGAGTAAGGCCAGTCGAGGCGTGCTTACTTATGATTAAAGTGCTTCTTAAAAGAACCATAGTCCATTTACAATTTTGGAAGGCACAGGTTGGTTTGTTTTGCTGTATATAGTTCAATTCGTAATTATCACAATTATTCATAACATTTTTATAGCGGTGTAATAACTGCAGCTGTTCTGAAATATTATGGAAAGAAAAAACATTTGCAAAATATGTATTTTTAAAAGTTCATGGTTTGTAGGCAAAGATGTTAAGAGCATTGTTTCCATTAAAATCAATAACAATGAAAAATGGTTGTTTGCTTTGTGATAAAATATTAACAATCTATTTAATCTTAAAGCAACTCATTTGGACAGTTTTTTTTACAGTTGTTATATGAAAAAGAAACATTACTATTTGGGGGGGGGGTGGAGTGGGTAGAGTATTGAGGGCTTTTTTTTAAAACTAATTTAGGGTGCTGTTTAATATTGAGAGCCCAATCTCTGCATGAATAACCAACTTGCAAATCAGCAAATAGAATGGTGGAGATAAGGAATTGTAAAGAATTTAGAAATGTAATGAATAGGCTTAAGTATCTCCTTCTCTTGAAGGGGCAGTACTCTAGGATTTTTGGTGGCAGTCAGTTTGGTATTATACATAATCATTTTGAATTCTAGAATTTTGTTTATTGTTCTTTTTGAAGAAATAAAGTCTTGGCACATCTATTTATGTTATAACATTTTTGTATTGGTGCCTGATTTTTTTTCCATGTTCAAATAAATCAACCTTAAATTGAAAGAGAAGTTCTGATGATTAAAAGAAACTTTGATTCCTTGGATACAGTTGAAACAGTCTGTTTTAAGTTATCTACTGATCTTTGTCAACAGACAATTAGTTATTGACAGTTTCTAATTGCACATTGCTTTGGATGTGATTTCTTGTTTGTGGAGAATGGGTTTTTTTTTTTTTTCACTTTCCTCCACCAGTAGACAAGGCAAAGGCCTGAATGCCATGAATGGATTGGGATGTCTTCACAAGTGTGAGCAGGTAACCTGGTCAGTCTACTGCTCCTACCCCCAGACATTCTAGTCTTGACCTTGACATTGAGGGTGCTGGACCAAATTCCTATTTCAGGAGTTTTCCTTCACTTCAAACCAGAAAGCATTTTAAATGCTCAGCAAGTTTTCAGAAAGTGTGTACTCATAAAATTGGCTTTATATGTGTTCCAACTGAAGTCTAAATTATGTTTTTCTTCTGAAATGTGCATTTAACTTCCACAGTTTACTGTTTTCTCTATGATTTTTCTCTCCACCCCCAACTTAACCTAACCTTAAATGACAGTAAAGTGATGGGTTGGATGCAAGATTATTTCAAAATCTTGCTTCTCCCACCCCCCATTAAATACATTAAACAGACATCTCCTTAGGAGACATTAAGAGTTTGATCTTTCTTTACAAGGCTTGAAATTATTCTGCCATGAAAATTTACAGTAGAGCATTGTGTCCTAAGAGGGGAAGATATGAATTAACAATGGTGATAACCAATATTAAGATAATGTGAAAGTTTTGCCCCTCTACATGATGTCCTTTAATATGGATGTAGCATCGTTATCTTGCAAATAGTCTATCCCTTTGCCCTTGTCATTTGTTGCAAAGAAAATTTTAGTAGAAAACTTTTGACAGATTTTCTTTCTATAATCTGACTCTGGGAGTACCTATTCTTTAATTTTCAGTGAGTCTCTTAGAGAATAAGCACACCCACCCCCACCCCCCGCCCAACAACAACAAAAACTTTTGCAACCCTAAAGATAAGCTGGAAAACATGAATGTCAGCTGGATTCTCAGTAAGAGAACGGTTATTTTACTTCTTGCACCTGGTAAGACCTTTGTTAAAAGTCCATTACCTTTTCCAAAATGGGTGGTTTAGTTTAAGATTTCCACGAAGGTGTCTATTTTCACGCAGACAGAAGCCTGGACTTCATCCAGTTTGGAAGGTTAAAGATCAGGGTCCAGGCTAAGCAGGCTGTGGGTCCTAACTACCGCGGAGGTTGAAGAACTAACAGGGACTGCCTCTGCTCACAAAGCCTCCCAGGAAAGTTGTGTTCAGGACTTCCTCGCCCCTCCCACCCTGCTCGCCGCCCGCTGTCTCTTCGCCCCTGGCTCCTTCTCCCCTCATAAAGCCCCCTCAAAACAAACGAAAAATGCCTAAGGGCCTTGGCCCTTAAGTTTCTGAAAGAGTCGCCTCCGGTCTGCCCATCCCCTGAAGCGCGGGATCTCAGCCCCGCAGCCAGGCAGCTTTTCTTTCGGGCGGTCTTCCCCCTCGAGACCCAAGTCGAGTCGGGCTCGGCCCCGGGACGAGGCGTCGCGGAAGTCAGGGCTCCCGCTCGGGGTCCTCAGACCCCTCGTGGGGGCGCCCGGGGTCCCTCTGCACACACCAAGTTCTTGCAGGCCCGGTCGAAGCTGGGGCGGGGGGGGGGGGGAGGGGACCTCATTTCCTAGGGTCAATTCTCTTGCGGTCTCGGCCCGCTGACCCTTTGACCTCCACCTACAGGGCCCTTGGCGGCCGTAAGCCGGCGGTCGCCCGGGCTCCGAGGACGCTTCGCGCCCCATCGCCTCCCGGCCTCATTAGGCCGGCGGGGCTGTAAAGCAGGAATCAGCCGCTGCCTAATCCGGACCTGGGGTCAAAACGAGCCCAAACAATGGTGAGCTCCGAAGGCCACAGCGCAGCGCTGGCCGCAAACTTTGTGTTCCATTCATTTTCTGAAGGCGGTGGCGGTGGGGTGGGGGAGGGAGGGGAGGTACTCGCACGCCCGAAGGCCGATCCCGGCGCCCGGGGCTCTTCAGCGAGCGTCCCCGCTCTCCGGCCTCCCAGTCTCATCGCCGCGCCAGGGTTTGGGAAGGGCCGGCAAAGCTCGGGGCTCGGTTCGCGGTCCGCGCGAGGGCCCAAGGGCTGACCTAGAGGGGGCCGCCCCCGCGCCAAGAACAAGACTTTGAAGTGGGTTTTTAGCGTGCACGTGTGAGAGCCGCGCCGGAGCGGGGGCCCGCTGGGAGGAAAGCGGTGGCTCCGGCCCGGACCGCCCCCCTCCTCCCCCGCGCCCCGTCGCTCCGGCCTTTTCAAGCCGCGGCCGGGAACGCACCGGCCGCCCGCGCCCCGAGCCCGCGCTGCGCGCAGGCGCACAACCCGCAGCCGTCGAGTCAGATTTCGCTGCGAGGGGGCGGCGGGGGAGAGTTGAAAGCAGCTCAGAGGCGCCGCGGCCTCGGCCGGGCCGGGAAGGGGGGCGGAGGGCTGGACGGAGCGGGGAGGGGGGCTGGTTTTGGGGCGGCTCTCGGGTCGGAAACATGGCGGCCGGATGCGAACCCCCGCGGAGCGCAGCAAAGCGCTGACGGCGGGCTGCCGAACTGTTGTGTGGTTTCAACTCCCCTTTATTCCTCGGCTCGGAGCGCCTCGCGGGAGAATGTAGGTCGTGGCGGCCGAGCGCAAAATTGTTTAAAAAAAAAAAAAAACGGAAGCGGAGAAGTTCTTCCAGGGCATCCTGGGCGTGGGAAGTTGGCGAGCCTTCTGGGGGCTAGGGTTCCCTGGGGGGGGGGTTTGGACCTGAAATCTACCCGAGGCCTCCCCACCCTCCGGGCCCGACTGAAAGCGTTTCTCCCCCGGCGCCTCGGGGGTGGGGGATGCCGTTTTGAGCCTCGTGCCCGAGTCGGGATCCCCCCAAGCACCTTCGAGTCGCGAAAAATGCCAAGGAGTGGACACTGTTCTCTTCCAGGACAATGGCGGGGCGCGTGAGCGGAGCACAGAGGCACCGTTTCCAAACCAGGTGCCCTGGATTAGTCGCACGGATAAGCCATTGCGAGTTCGAACCCTCCACGTTTTTCAGGCCCGGTTTTCTGCATATCTCATTTAAACGCGGGCCTATGAAAAATAGCACTGTGTGAGCTTTTGTGTGTGCTGTTAACAGCTGGTGGTCTTAGGAAAAAAGGGGCGGGAGGGAAGGCCATGATTCCGAAAACTTCATTCAGCTTTTGCTTAAACCGCCTTAATGCTGGCGTGTGAAAGAACCCCTGATAGCTCTGGGATCTCGAGTCCGTGTTTTCTCTGCAGGGAAAATGCAGCAGATGTCTTTCGTGAGGGGAAAAAAAATGTGGGCTTTTAAAAATGTAGTTATTGACCCCCGTCTCCTCTAGGAAAATAAGCGGCACGCATTCTTTCAGGTTGCGTCTTCGTGGAGGCCAACAGCTAAACGAAAAGACAGCCTTTTGGGCTGCCCACTGGCGAGGATTTGGGCTCCTGAAGGTGTGGGCCAGCTCCCGAGGGCCACCTTGAGAAGGGCCCCAGGTGGGTGGGCAGGTCATTAGCAAAGCTGGCCCAGATCTGGGGGGGAAATCTGCAAAACAGTGCCTTTATCTGCAGAGAACAATTGATGGGGTTGTCTTTCCTCCTTTTCAGTGCACAAAGAAGACGGCTTTGGAGCAAGAATTTGGAATATGCATTTAAGTTGTCGTGCTTTGCATTGGAAACCCCTGGGCAATTAAAATAAGCCTGCCTTGTAGTATTTTCTGTCCTTTTCTTATGTGTGGTTCCTGCAAGTCAAAGGGGCTGGAGTCCCTTCTGCAGTTTGGAAACTTGTTTTGAAATAGCCACCAAACAAATTTTTACCCCTTTGGGTGAAGTTTGCTTCCAGGGTTCAGCCTCTTCACCCCACCCCCTGACTGGAATAGAGTGTTGACATCTTTGAGAGAGCAAAGGAGGTAGATGGTGCTTGCTGTATACTTTATTTTTCCATGCTGTAGTTTGAACCCTGAGATTTGAGCTTTTTCCTGGCTCAATCTCTTGGTATCAAAAGTGTGGAAAATGAAAAGTTCATTACCTTGAAAAATCTTTAGCCAATGGGTAGGCAGTTTGTCTCTCTGAGAACCACAGTGCCCAGAACATCTCTGACATTGACTTTGGAATCAAGCTAAAGATGCACTGGTGAACTATCTCCCCTGGATACCTGCGGTGTTCTTTGGGTCATTTGATATGGTAAAACTGTGGTTGATTTTCATAAGAGTTACATGAATGGAATTTCTTCTAAAATGGACGAATGACAAATTGGTAGAACTCATATTTGTTTGAATGATAACTCCAAAAGGCACTGCTTTTCCCTCTGAGGTTTGGTTTCTACCATCACTATTGAAATTTACAGCTTGAAAAACACTAAGTTCGCAGGAAGCCTTTAAAAGGGGGAATGTTCAGAGGACTTGGACTAATAATAACACAGGAGCAAAACGTCTTTAAATAAGATTCTTGTTGCCAAAAATCTGTTGAAACTAAAGAAAACATTTCTTTAAAAATCATCTAATAGAGCAAACAATTTTGTATATTTTACTGTGATGACAGTCCAGCCTGTTTACTGATCTGATGAATAGAGAAATGTGAGCCCTATAGTAACTGGAAGAATAGCCTTCACCAAATGGCAAGTTTCTGTGTTTGTTCTCTGATAGAATGTGTATGTTGTCTAATGTGTTTTATTAAAACAACCTATGTAAAGACCATTTGAGCATAAGGTGTTAAAAATAGAAGATTCCATTGTGTTTTATTATACGCTAGCATTTAAAACAACATATCCAGTAATGTATTATGATGTTTTTCTAAGAGTAAATGTAGCTTGTTTTGACCTATCTGCAGTTCACTTTTTGTTTTTTTGCCAGTGTTGTCCTGCTTGGTATCCGGGACAGTCTCTAATTCCTGACGAAGAACTTGATACTGACGTTGGTATGCAGCAGCCAGCCCTCCATAACACTACCTATCCTAAATGCAGGGTTAATGCCGAACCTACTGTGCAAGAAATGATTTACTGATGAGGTTTCAAAGAAAACCACATCAATTTGGATGTCTGTTACCTTGAAGTGATCATTTTAAGAGTAGTAGCTTCTTCCCTAGGTATAAAAAGACTATTTTCTTCTTTGGTGTATTTCATTCTGTGTTGAGCAATCATTTGTGAAATGAAAAAGCAAAAAAGCACCCCCCACACACACACACCTCCAACCAATTTAGGATCATAAACTAGAAGATGGAGGTGAAGACTAGCCTAATTCAGTGTGTATTATCTCATGCATTGTGTTGACCTTGTTGAAAATCTCTTTCAAATATCTGCATTCCACATGTGTAAAGTGTTTAAAACTAGAAATATGAATGCTTGTTTTGTTAATTTCTTGTGTTCAAAAAGCAACATCCAGAATCTCTACAATTGACTTAAATAAAACCATTTAAATTATTTTTTGTGATTATTGTTTTATTGCAGTGACAACCATAGCCCCTAACTAAATCCTTAGTGATCAAATAACCTTGATTAACCTGTTGAATTGGGACAATTTATATTCTAGTCACATCTTTCATGATATAGCTTGGCTTTCACTGAGCAATAAACTTGGGGAAAAAAAACCCAACCTGCTGAACAAACCCCAACCGTTTTGAGCTCACAGTGTTTTCCCGGAGGAACTCAGGGCCAGGTGCTGGGGAGGTCCTGGGGACCTCCAGGGGAGGGGAGAAATTCAGAGTCAAGGATTGATTGGGATGATTAGAAGGAAGGACTGGAGATAGGAGTCTGGAGAAAAAAAGAGCATTTGAACACCACTATCTGGATGAGAGAGGAAAAGACAAAGCTGAAAATAACCTTTAAAGAGAAAGGAGGGCCTCTGGAAAGGGGACGTTGCAGCATAGCACATTATATGGATATAACTCAGAAGCTCCAAAGTGGTTCTTAGGGCGGACAACTTGGCAACCATTGATTAGAACACTTACAGAATCATGGAATATAGGTGTTATTAAAACACAAGTTGTTGTTAATTAACTGTAGTGTTAGAGAAGATGAAGACACTTCAGAGAAATTCTTCAAACTCCAGATACTTGATTTCTCATTTTAAATTTAACATCTGTAATCTAATGTGATCTCTGAGTGGCCATCATTCTATTTATTTGACGTGATTATGCCATGATGAGGTATTGTAAAATTGCAGCCTGATAGAGTATATTGCTATTGGTTCTTTAGGTCCAATTTTATTAAAATTTCTGCTAAGTAGACTGATGATACTGTAATTTTTTAAGTAGAGGGAAAAACTGCTCCTCTTCCTCTGATTTTTGTTGTTCATTTACAGCAAGAGTAGGCGTACAGTCCAGTCAGGAAAGACTGTGATTCTTAGCTCTCTAGAACTTGACATTCTTCTATTCCCCTAGAAAGATGTTAGTAGGAATTTTTGTTTTGTTTTTGTTTTTAAGAACAAGAACTGTGTTCTTTCAGACAGGCAGTGGAGTGTTATAATGGGATTATTAAAAAAGCCCTTGGAAAGGTAAACTACCAAGTTGTGCATGAGCCAACTGCAGTGTGATAATAATACCTCCTAGGGTTATTCTAAGGATTAAGCGAGAAAATGTCCATAAAGAGCCTGGCACAGAGTAGGGCCTGGACAAATGTTAATTTGCTTCCTTTCCTCTTGCAGGTAGCTATTGTTTCATTGCTTTGAGGTGGTTTCGTACTTTTAATATTATGGAATATTTTACTAAAAACATAGTGATTTGTACTGCGGTGCAAATTAATGCAGTTTCAGAAAATAAATGGGGACTTAGGGCATCT